CTCTTAATTCTAGAACTGATCTTACTGTTCATTTATCAATTGTCACGAGTTTCATGGCTTTTAGATATGGAATCTATACCAAACAGTGAACATTTTGTACATTTTCTTAATGTCCCCCATTGTACACGTATGTGAGAGGTACTCGAATATTTATTTTGTGAGGGGGGGAAATAGCGCCTACAACACAGCCTTTCCTCCCCTTTTCTAACCTTCTACATCGACTTGAAGAAGACCCAGAACAAACAGAAGCACCGTCGTTTCCATTTGGATATGTACGGGTTCGGTTTTCTGTTTTCAGCCACGTTATTATGACTAATTCTCTGAATATATCGAATGAGATCAGACACTAAAGATAAGTGAAGGTAATGCATCGGAAAATACCGAATATTGGCTGCATTTCCAGACCCTAAACTAGAGATAATTTTAAATGAGGTGGTATTTCCTAAGGGATATTATTTTTTAAGATGAGAAAGACATAACTGAAAACAGGCAGACATCGCAGTGCTTTTGAAAAAAAAGGGTAGGGGAAGGGATTTATCAGGGGAAAGCGCCAAGCAATTACGACTATATAGCACTTGGAAGGGGTCAGGATAAGGATTTGGGATGGGACGGGGGGGGGGGAGGGGGGAAAGGAATGGTGTCCAACCACTTGGACGGTCGGGGATAGAACGCCGACCTGCATGAAGCGAGACCGTCGTTCTACTGTCCAGCCCATGTTGTAAAAAATATCAATATGTGTCGAAAACGAACGTCGTGCGGATATTGTAGCACCGACAAGCTGAAACTAGAGAAAGTGTCATTAACTTCCCTTTCAGATGTGGTAGTCAACTAAGAGAGGGAGAGGGTCATCACTTCTGAAGAGAATACCAGTAAAAATAATGCTGTGAGAGGAGTATCTGAATGTCGTTCTCCTATCGTCATTTTCACTATAAATATCATCATCTACGTCTTTATTGTTGTGTTCTTCATCATAATTATCGTCAACGTTACCATTATCATCCTCACCTTCACCATTATCTTCCTCATCATCATCATCGTCACCCTCACTATCCATATCCTACTAATACCACTGACCTAACAATCCCGGAAGCTCACGGCTTCAGCCTGCACGGAGTCACCTTCAAGAAATTCCACTAAATTATCGGAAATAAATTCGAGCCATAAAACTCAATTATTAAATGTGCTATTACCGAGCAATTTTTCTTAGCCGATGTAAATGATAGCTTCACTAACGCCACCCACTCACGAAACACACTCCAGCCACCCCTTTAATTAGCTAATGGAAAAACAGGAGAAGGAATTACAACTCCAGTCCTTACGTCTATTAAACCTCCCATAAATGTAATATAGGTAGAATTTTCTTGTTATACAAGTTACATTTGTTTATAGTATTTGATGATGTCAATAAAAAACATTATTTACTGTCCATGCAGGTTGGGAAATTTAGATCTGCTGGTATCTGAGGTACCTGGAGCTTTGCAGTCACTTTATTACCTCTCGGGTTATGAGAATATAACCCGAGTGTGTGTGACTAATCATCATACGAGATTGGGACTTTATATCACTGCCATTTTATTCACTGTGTTCTTGAGAATATCCTTATAATGTTGACCAAACCACACACTAGAAAGTAAAGAGACGACGACGTTGCGGTCCGTCCTGGACCATTCTCAAGACGACAATCGACTTGAGAATGGTCCAGGACGGACCGAAACGTCGTCGTCCCTTCACTTTCTAGTGTGTGCTTTGGTCAACATATTTCAGCTACGTTATTGTGACTCCTCGCCTGCATATCCTTATAATGCCTCCAAAGTTTTCCAGTGTAGGGTACTGATCACATGCCAACTGTGTGATGGGGATTTTTCTTTTAGCGTCATGCTGCTAGTTCTTGATACACTATGTGCCCCTTTCGTATAGGCTAAGGCACCTGACACTAAACACTGAAATCACAATAGCGTGATGCATCAAATGAACAAATCCACAAGGGCCATGACGAAGGTTCGAACCTACGTCCGAGAGGATCCCAGACGCTGCCTTAATAGACTGAGGGAGGGAAGGGAATTATCAGGAGAAAGCGCCAAAAAAATACGACTTTATAGCACTTGGAAGGGGTCAGGATAAGGATTTGGGATAGGACGGGTGGAAAGGAATGGTGTCCAACCACTTGGACGGTTGGGAATTGAACACTAACCTGCATGAAGTGAGACCGTCGATCTACCGTCCAGCCCAATATATATATATATATATATATATATATATATATATATATATATATATATATATATATATATATATATATATATATATATATATATATATATAATGAACCCCTGGAAGAATGGTAAACAGTTGGTGTGGGACTACACGTGCGCTTCAACCTTGACCAACACCTACGTTCACTTCAGTGTGGCACATCCGGGTGATGTTGCCACTCACAGGGAAGCAGCCAAGTCTCGTAAATACAGAGATCTGGATTACCACTACAATTTTGTTACAATTGCCTCAAAGAGAATTGATGCCTCGAGTAAAAGTGCAACTAGTTTTTGAAGGAGGAAGGTTCTAAGCTAATTCAAACAACAAGAGACCCTAGAGCCGCCAGCTTCCTCTTTTAGTGCCTTAGCTGTGCGATGCAAAGAGGAAAAGCACACTGCGTTTCCATGGAACTTGCCCGCTATCTGAATAGCTGGAAGAACTCGAAAACCTGTGACAATTAATCTCGTACCTTTCATATACCCAATGTTGTAACCCATTTTCTGAAATGGAGGTTTAAATAATTTGGATCTATTATATGCGACGAAGTCAATGAAATCATTAAGAGGAGCCTTGCCTCTGCTCAATGTCCAGCAGAAAGAGAGCCTCGCCATCTATTGAACCATAACTCTGTTAGCTTTGCTTTGTGACCGGATGGAATCGCACTGCGCCTCTGGAAAAATGGCAGGCAGTTAATTGGCGTGGGACTATACTTGCGTATTCACATTGACAGCCAAATACATCAACCTCTCTGTCGGCCAAGCAGGAGCCGTGGCGACACACACAGAGAAAGAGAGCAGTCAACCAAATACAGGGAAATAGATCACCAGTACAACTTCATTCCAAAAGGATCCGAGACCCTTGGTTCATGGTGTGAGCTAGTGCAAGGAAATTTATTAAGGATCTTGGTTCCAGGCTTATCGAATGTACAAGAGACACTAGAGCAGGAGGTTTTCTCTTCTAACGCCTTAGTGTAGCGGTCCAGAAGGGAAATGCCTTCTGCATTTTCGGTTCCTGCCCGGCGTCGGAGGAGTTTGAAGAATTCTACAGCCGCTAGGAAACAAACTTCCCTTTATTTTCTCTTAATGTCCCCTTTTTGTCCCCAATCAGATGTGTAACTGTGTAACCTTGGATAATAAAGTGAACATCATAAATAATAAAAACGAGGTGATAAGAGAAGAGAACACACACGTATTAAGAGTTAAATGGCAAGCTATTCTATGAATGCTCAGTATTTCCTTCTCCGAGGCTATGGGTCCCTACAATTGCTTCAGAGGTGGTACCCCTGTATATAATATGTATCATAAAAAAAAACTCTTACCCGTGAGGGGTTCGAACCTTAGACAGCCAGGCGCTCTATACACCTTAGCATATTCATTACCATACCCACTAGAACACGACATACTGTTAAAACAATTCGAAGTTTGTTAGACTTTTAATCCAATTGCCAACAACACTCGGTGGCCAACGGGTACAGATATTTCCATCAAATGATTTCACTATGTGAGTTTTCCTCACATCAACAAAATCTCATAGTCTTAAATCAAAGTGAAATTCACACCAGTTACTCCATCTATCATCATTCTATTACTCAGGAAGAACCTCACGTCTCTGGGTCATCCAGTAGGGTTAGCAGACTTCTAGCAGACATCACATGTGTGTGTGTGTGTGTGTGTGTGTGTGTGTGTGTGTGTGTGTGTGTGTGTGTGTGTGTGTGTGTGTGTGTGTGTGTGTGTGTGTGTGTGTGTGTGTGTGTGTGTGTGTGTGTGTGTGTGTGTGTGTGTGTGTGAATAAAAAATCAGTTGATTGACTGCCAGTTGAGAGACGGGCCGGCAGAGCCAGAGCTCAACTCCTGCAAGCACAACTAGGTGAATACAACTAGGCTTAGGCTCGGCTACAAGTACCTCTGGGAGTTTGCAACATCTGCTGATGAAAATTTGACTAATTGTAAACTCTGTCAGCAGAACTATTCGCAGACTTTGCGTCATTATATAATGGAACGTGAAAAAATTGCGAAATTCAGAGATAACACCATCAATGGTGTCCTAGAAATGTGTGAGTACTTCTATCATAATGATATACTGCCTGGAATCTTATAGCGAAGTAACCAAAATTTGCTTACTGTAGGTGTAGTCAGCACATTACTGTAAAGCTGCCGCCCAGTTGGGTGGGTGTGGAGCACATGACGGTAAAGCTGCCGCCCAGTTGGGTGGGTGTGGAGCACATGACTGTAAAGCTGCCGCCCAGTTGGGTGGGTGTGGAGCACATGACTGTAAAGCTGCCGCCCAGTTGGGTGGGTGTGGAGCACATGACTGTAAAGCTGCCGCCCAGTTGGGTGGGTGTGGAGCAAGACTAGCAACTGCGTGACTCACCTTAGATGTAAAGTGCCTTGTATAGAGACTTGTGAGCCTCTTGTTGAATAACTGTGATATAAAAAGATTATTGATATGTATATGTAACTGTGTAAAGAATTGTATGCATATAAACATGTGTATCATTAACAATAATGTAACAAACTTCACAAAATTGTTACTTGCTTAACTAAACGAACTATGGGGTACAGTTCCTTAACCCCGTATGTGCCTCTGTAACTCTATCCACCACCGCCCCATGACGGGCATGGGGTGCATCATAAAGAAACAAATTGAAAAAATATATATAAAATTAACTCGTTATTTATAATATAAATATTCATCGAGATATTTGTTGAATTGAGCCAACATACCACCGAGATATTTACGTAGTTAACGATGGTTCAACGAAAGAACTCTCCGCTGAGATATAGTGCGGTTAACCAGAGTTCTGTTGGGTGTCGTGTGGTTAGTTGGGGTTAGAGACGAGGTCACGGCCGGACGGACGAACGCGTGAGTTCAATGTCAAGGGTTCACTCGCGTTCTTGTTGCCGTGTGTGTGTGTGTGTGTGTGTGTGTGTGTGTGTGTGTGTGTGTGTGTGTGTGTGTGTGTGTGTGTGTGTGTGTGTGGTGTGTGTTTTATTTATTTTAGGCGAGGCTCTCAGGCGCAGTGAGAGAAGGGCTCGGTGTCTCGGGGCCCAATGAGTGGTTGGTGTGTGTTTGTTTGGTTATGTGCGCTTTTGTCCATGTGTTTTTGGGTGTGTGTGTGTGTCTACTCGCCTAGAGGTGCTTGCGGGGGTTGAGCTCTGGTTCTTTGGTCCAAAGAGCCAAACACACACAGAGCTTTGGGTGTGTGTGTGTGTGTGTGTGTGTGTGTGTGTGTGTGTGTGTGTGTGTGTGTGTGTGTGTGTGTGTGTGTGTGTGTGTGTGTGAGAGTGCATATACATGTGGCTACATTTATGTTTTTATCTGTGTATGGATTCGGGTACATGCGAGAAGCGAATGATATATGTATGTATGTGCATAATATGTCTATGTGGTTACAAACAAATAATCAATTCCTGGCATATAAAAACACACTGAAATAAACAACAAACTCACGAGCTATCCCCAAAATGCCGACGGATGTTGCATAAACAGTAGAGCAATTGATGAAAAAAATTCCCATTGTTGTCCTTGGAAGGTGGTGAGTCTGTGTCTGCGAGCGCGCGCGCGTGTGTGTGTGTGTGGTGACGAAGGCAATGGTGAGGCTGTTGCACTATTGCGTCATTGCATTATGTTGCAAAAAACCCGGGAGTCAAGGTGCGATTCTGCTGATTGTGTGTTTTTTCTTTTCATAACAATAGACTAAGGAGTTGAAGCCTTTTATTACCATGATCACTGAGTGACGTGAGGAGATATGTGTCTTTATGCTATAGGTAATCACTACTTTAATCTGCCCTCACACTTTATGCACCAGAAATATGACGCTATCTCGACCAGACCACACACTTGAAGGTGAAGGGACGACGACGTTTCGGTCCGTCCTGGACCATTCTCATGTCGATTGACGCTATCGCTCAATTGCATCAATATTTGCTTTGCGTTTTATAAATCAATGACACCGCAATATAATCGTTGTCTTAAACCAATGAACAGCGGCTTCAACCAGTTATAGGTCATTTTCGTTGGCTCGTACGCTGTTTGTAATTCGTAACAACTGCACATTTGATGCTTCTTAAATCACGAAAATGTGTTGTTTACTGAGTGATGTTGGGTGCCGGAGTGTGTACTCACCTAGTTGTGCTTTGAGAGGGTTTAGCTTTGGTTCTTTGGTCCAGCATCTTATATGTCAATCAACTGGTGTACTGATTCCTGAGCCTACTGGGCTCTATTAAATCTAATATATTACCGAACAATTTTTACCTGTCTTATAGGGACATGAGATTTAGATCCCGGAGCCCTTCCCAGTAGCTTATACCTCTCAGTTCTGGGACTAGTCTGGTAGCATACCTCTAAATCTTCTCAAACTTTGTCCTGTGTTTAATTACGTACTGACTCCAGGCTGGAGCTGTGTATGTGTGTGTGTGTGTGTGTATGTGTGTGTGTGTGTGTGTGTGTGTGTGTGTGTGTGTGTGTGTGTGTGTGTGTGTGTGTGTGTGTGTGTGTGTGTGTGTGTGTGTGTGTGTGTGTGTGTGTATGTATTCGTGCGTACGGCTAGAAAATACATAAACACAAACAATTCATTTCAAACCATTACAAATAAATGCGCCATTAACACGCAGTCTTAGTACAAACATCCCTACGGAAATTTCGCCCAAGAAACAGAAGGACACAAGAACATCACTACTCGACTTCAAGGTTGACCTTATACCTGTTTATTTAACGATTAATTTGTAGTTCCTCAAGGCCAGGCTGTTGATTATGGCCTATATGATATAGACGTTGTTGCTAACATCATTCACACTTGCTACTTCGAGCAATCGCGTATTTCGTGTATTTATAGGCATTAGTTACAATGCTATTAGTTCTTCTCTGTAATTATGTGGTGCTATTTGTCTTGTTTATGTAATGTTGAAGTGGTAGTAGACGCATTTTTGTACTCCTGTGGTGCTGTTGTGTTATTTTTGTACTGTAATTCATAGTTTAATTATGATTATCAGTATTGTTGTTTGATGCTCAGGAAGATCGTTAAGTATTTAACTAACACCACAGGGTGGTCCAGGGCTACGAGAATCCATTCACGAGAATTCGCAATTAAAAATGAAGAGCGCTTTGCCATTGGTTGATGCTACTTTGCAGTATCTGAATCGCTTGCGTTGCACACTATTGCTTTTATGACCGGCGGGTAAATTATAACTCCTGTGTTGACCACGTGTGTCCTTGGCTGAGTCCACACAGCCATCACGGTAACACTTTGGCTTGAAGCTGTGTTTTGTTCCATGTGTGTTCACCTAGTTGTGTTTGCAGGGTTGGAGCTCTGCTCTTTCGGCCCGCCTCTCATCTGTCAATTAATCAACTGTTACAAACTACTAAATTTTTTCACACCCACACACACACACACACACACACACACACACACACACACACACACACACACACACACACACACACACACACACACACACACACAGGAAGAAGCTGGGTGTTTAGAACTGCTGCCTAACTCCCATTTACCTGTTTACCGCTAGGTAACAGGCGCATCAGGGTGAAAGAAACTATCCTCGTTTTGTTTCTGCCGGCCCCGGGAAGTGTGTGTGTGTGTGTGTGTGTGTGTGTGTGTGTGTGTGTGTGTGTGTGTGTGTGTGTGTGTGTGTGTGTGTGTGTGTGTGTGTGTGTGTGTGTGAGTAAGTGGGTATATTTGCATGTGAATGTAAATTCAGAGGCATTTTTAGTTAAATGTATAAACCCATGTACACGCAATCACAAAAGTCATTTGTGTTCAGAAACAAACACGCGCCTGAAACTCTTATATATAAAGCTATCTAAAACAACCAAGCATACAACAAATCACAACTAATAAACCTACAGCTAATAAAACACACAAAGCACAGCAGCCAGTGAACATTCATTTCCTCAAATACACACAAAAGTACACATTGTAATCCTAATAATTCACAAGGCCCAAACATGCCCACCCAGCTAACCCACACCTCCCCAGACACACAAACAAGCACACCATGTGAGCATACACCTCCCCAGATTCACAAACAAGCACACCAAGTGAACCTACTCATCCCAACTTTGATTTGCACCACTTCCCTTAGACTAGCTGCTTCCCTGGCTCCTATGTTACTGCTCTTCATAGTCCAGTGCACATGTGGTATTTAGCTCAGAGCTGCAGACAATCAACGCTCTCAAGAACCTCCGGCCATTAAAAAATAAAATATGACTGTGTATCCATTAGCTACATCTGACACCTGGCAGGTATATATTTTAGAGGCTGACTCTGCATGACTGGTGATATTGTTTCATGTGTTCCACTTCTCCTGCATATTACGTGTGTATTAAGGTTATAGTTCGAATTTGTAATTGTGTTAATTTTGTTTGTTGGTTTAATTGGCACTGTTTGTGTGTGTGTGTGTGTGTGTGTGTGTGTGTGTGCGCGCACCTATTGCTCCAGCATCCTGTCATGTCAGTTTTTGAAGTGGTGGATGGAGATTGATTGCTTCCCCTGCATCTTATTTTTTTTATCGTTCCATCTATTTGCTCTTCTCTCACAGGAGCCATAATATCTCGTATTCCTGGGTTTTATTTGAGACTTTTCTTTCCATCTGCGTCCTTGAGCTCTATGGCAACGTACTATGAACAAGTCAATCAATATACATTTTATCAGTTTTTCTCAATATTATGCACGAAGTGATCATATCTCCTCTGGTTATAATATTTTCCAGTGATATCAGGTTTAGTTTCTCCTCTTTAAAAGGGCAGTTTCGCGAACGCTGCTGATGTGAACCTTCTTGATTCTTTGGTGAAAGGTTTGGCCATCTCACCAAAATGGTTAGGCTCGGTTCCCTCAATCATTTCTCATGTGTCTTTCAAGTTTGTATTTTAGTTCTTGCTTAAAGTTTTTTCCCGGTAATAACATTACCATTCTTTCGGTAATTACCTTATCTCTGTCCTGAAAACTACTTTACCTTTCTAGTAGTTGAAAACTACCTAATGGGGCCTGACGGGAGCCTAAAAACTACTTTAAGGGGCCTGATGACTGAGTAGATAGCGCTCGGGATTCGTAACCATGAGATTCCGGGTTCTATACCCGGCGGAGGTGGAAACAAATGGACAGAGTTTCTTTCCCCCTGATGCACTCGTTCACCTAACAGTAAATAGGTACCTGGGAGTTAGACACCTGCTCCGGGTTGCTTCCTGGGGATGTGTAACAAAAAAGAGGCCTGGTCGAGGACCGGGCCGCGGGGACGTTAAGCTCCGAAATCATCTCAGGACCTCTTGTTTTCTTCTCCTACCCTCATTTCTCCTAAATATCTTTGTGAGATTACTCCTGGAAGTTGTTAAATTCCTCCAGCATTTCTGCATAATCGTCATCCGCCCCAATTCTGCGCGGCCATTGCTCTCCGTTACAAGGCATTGGCGTATGTAGATCTGACCCTTCAAATATATCAATCAAGGAGATTAAATACCGAATTGGTTCTGTAACTGATCCCTGCGGGGCCCGGCTTGTTACTGGTGCCTCTTCTCTCAAAAACTCTATTTGTATCTATATAACATATAATAAATATATAACTAATATCCGAGGTTTTGCGCTGGTGTGATGGCTTCACATGGAAATATATATTAACTGAATACTAAGCATTAACAAAATATATGTTACAGTCATTGTATTTAATTTTAATTTACTAACAAAGCACTCATTAGCTCCTAAACTATGATGAGTAAATATTGATACAATGCTTTATTTCTTAAAAAGTAGACATATCAATCATGCACTCTGGGTCCAAAGAGCATGGGAAAAGTACTTACCGTCTACTTCC